TAATTTCCCTGAAACACACAGAAAATACACACCTTAACTAGACCCTAAATGTGTCACCATATCATATTGTCTCAACAACAAAGTTGTCAAAGTACATTAAAAGGGTTGTCAAGTTTTGCCACAAATTTAGAGGAACAAAATTAATATAAATTATAATTTATTAAATCTCCTGCAGACTTATTAAAAAGCAGGTATGTGAGAAGATGATGGAGTGGGAAATGCTCAATTCAAGATATAATATTAAATGGAAAAATCATGATCTTAATTATAATAAGAACTTATAAAAAGAAGGGACTGGAAATTAGCAATATTATCTCATTATAAAATTAGCAATTTCATATTTTTTGTATTTGACATATTTTCCTATATTTGGTATGCAGTGTTGCATAATCAGAAAAATAATCAATGTTCTTTACAAAACACAGAATTTAAAAGCCCATTCATAATAAAGATTGTGATATTGATACCAAGGGGTTATTTATAGCAGAGGAGTCTGAATAGCACATGTAAAGTCAATTTTACAATTTCAAAATAAAATATTACCAACTCCCTTCAAGAAGACAGTTAGCAACAGCCATCCAACAAAATGGTTAACACTTTCTGGGTCATCATGAACCTAATCTCTTTATTCGATGCTTTTCATGCCTAATCCATTGGTTTCCACTCGCAAGACCACAATATAACAAACGCTACACTTGAAGGACTGTGCAAAGGAAGGCGACTGCCCGAGTAGCAGGTTTGAGTACAGCTAGCAGGTGCCTGGGAAGCAATGTGCACTTGCTGCACAGAAGTAGACAGCTGCGTCTCCAGGCTGGGCGGCTGTGATGTGCAGGGACAGATGTTTGGCCGTCTTATTCAATAAAACAGTGAGTCCTTGGTCTTCCTCTTTGACCTTATTTGAACGAATGCTTATAAGGAACCGGAGACCTTTGCCAGGTTCTTGCTTATACCAAGGGAAGTACTCTGAATTACTGTCTGTGTAGGTGCAGGTGATAACAGAGCTGTTTCCCTCCTGGACACTCAGGCTGGGAGGACTCTGCTCCACATTCTCTCCTCGGCTCACACCTGTGCAGAAAGAAGAAGTCAGAGAAAGGAGAAGGGCTGTCAGGTCACGAGAATTTACTTTTCCTTCTCTACAGTAACCAGAGGAAACCAGAATAAGACCATTCTAAAGAATGTCCCCTAATATCCTCTGTTTCCCGTAAGCCCTTGACTCACAGTCCAGCTGCAGCCACAAGAACATGATTAAAGCTCCGATAGGTGTCTTCATTATTCTTCCCATTTGGGATCAATTGCAAACTGCAAACTCCAGCCAGAAGAGCTACTTCTATTACCAAGTGATCCCTTCTTTTCTCTAACAACCAGTGGTTTCTCACATTGTCTACCCAGCCAATAAGAAAAAGGCTCTGCTTCTGCCCTAAGCCTATTCATTCAGAATCCACTGAAATGAACCCTGCACATGTTCTGCATCAGCCGGGGTGCACCGCCATCTTGTGGTCACAACTCTAACTACAGAACTTTCTGGTTAAATATTTTCTTGCCCTGTGCCTGTAAGGGACTAGATGCATAAAAACACCAATAGATCAAATTACCTCTTAGATTGGAGAGGAAATGCACATTAGTAGTGCAGAGATCAGGATTTATAACTCTGCACACTACTGAGTCGTTGTTCCGAAGCTGGACAGAGGTAGATGCTGTTGCTGGTTACTCAACAATGGACCCAGCATACATGTTTGAAATCAGAAACACACCATGATTCACTCTCTAAAAAAAGGAGACTATAAAGATTCCCTTTTAAGCCAGTACACCGTCTTCATTTATCTGTAGTGAAGGAAAACTCTCTCTAAAAAGAATATGTAAACCAAAGATCACAGAAGGAAAGAGAAGATCATTTGATATTTCAAATGTCTGTTATATCAGCCTCTGCTCTTCTAAGCTGGTCTTGCCCAAGAACTTGCTATTGCAAAGGAACTGACAGTGCCAGCAGTCAAAATGTGGAATCTTCCCTCAGTTCAGATAACTGTGACAAAAATAAAGAATCAAACCTCAATAGTAAAGGAGAAGAGGGAGAATTTCCATGAATTATTAGTATTTCAACCATAGAAAACACTATGATCTTATAGATTGCATTGATTCACAATGAGAAATCTCACATGCTTTAAGAAATCTATTTGGATGCTATGTCTTATGTTCTGTAAAGGACTGAAGGACTGAGTAGAAATTCTGTGAAAACATCAGGTTGTAGATTCAGAAATGGCAACCACATGTAAGCTGATTCTTGAGTGATTTCATTCTGTCATATCAAAATGCATTTCCTAAAATGCAAGCACTGACTCATCTCCTTAGTGGAATTTGATCTATCACATATGGCAACATCCAGTCTGCCGCATCTTCCTGCTTCCTTGGCTATTGCTGGCTCAGATTCCACACTCTGCCATTTTTCTTTCAAAGTCCACTCTAATATTCTTCTCCTAAGATATTAATAAAGTTCTCCAGTTGTGTGAGTTTCCAGAATTATCTTCCTCTGCAAAAAACAAAACAACAAATACACAAATAAACAAAAGAAAACCTTTCCCATTCACTTGTATTTCTAGGAACTTTCTCATTACCTCTGTGAGAATAAGTCTAGGAAAGGCTAAATATTGCCTGTGTCTGCTAAGGAAATAGCCTGCTCGTGTTGCTGTCTGGTGTCCTGCTGCCCCATGGATCTCCTCCGCCCACACACGTGGTACATCCATTTACGGGACTTCACTTATAACACACAAGTACAAAGAAAACATTTTTAAGACTTTCCAGATAGCAATACCATAGCGTTAAACCAAGGGAAGGGTTCTTTTTGAGAGTGGGGCTTTAGCAACTTCACAGCTCCCGTGCCCAGAAAGCTGGTCCTGCTCCCAGCTTCCTGGAGTCCGCTCTTGAGTCTTCACCTTAATTATCATGTTCCTGTCCTTCCTATCACCGTAGTTTCATTAACACAAAATTCAGAGCTGGTTGGAATTCAGTCTGCACTGTAATTGTTCCTCATGCCAGTTTAAACTCCAGGTTTGGTGGTCAGAAGTCTGTCTCTGGCTACAGTAGATAAGGTTTTCCTTTAGAGTAATCCTGGAGGCCTTCTGCTCTTTTCCTCAGACTGTGAATGAAATTTTAGAGTCATGGGAAATAGGTTTATTCAAATTTCAAGTTGAGCAATGGGTTTTAAAGAAACAATACAAATCCGTGAACAATTCCCTACAAGAGCTATTTAGATATGAGAAAATGGGTATTTTTGTCAGTGATGTACGTAAACACATTGAACAAATGGATCAATTAAAATCATTTGAATTTTGTGATTCTGAAGAGTCTCCTATAGCAGGAAGCTCAGAGTATAAGCTCTCATGTCACCCCAGCTTCACTAATTTAGTAATAATGTGAAGCCACTTATGCTCTGCAATCCTCACTTTATTCATGCATCAAAGGAGAGCAGGTACCTACTTACAGGGTCTTCTCAGTACTGAGATTGATCATGTATGTCACAAGCCTGATGGTCAAAAGTTAATTTATTATGTTTGTTTTTCCTGGGGATAAAAAAGCTGAATATAAAGTTTAAAAAACATTATACACGCTCTCTTCCCTTTTCCTTGAAGTAGAGCCACGTGCAGTTAAAAGAAAATCTGAGTCAGATCTTTCTATTTGTTGACCACCATATATTTTTTCAAGCCTTTTCCATCAGAGAAATTTATGTGTAATTTATATGTTACCTGCCTAGAGCACTGGATTGTTTTAACAGGACATAGAATATTGACATCTTTATCAGCTGTCACAATGGCTCCATATTAGAGCTTTATACCTGCAAAGGGACTTCTGGGAAGGAAAACGGCGAGAACAAAAACAAAAATCAAGGGAAATGACACACCTAAGGGATTTAATTTTAGGAGGGAAAAAGTGCTGGATTATGAATCTGAAGGCCCCGAAGGGGTGCAGAAGTTACTGAGGGGGCACATGCCCACCCACGGAGGGGCGGTGCTGCAGCCCAGCTGCAGTTTGGGTGCAGGCTGCACACCACCTGGCAGCACTGTGCCTCCGCTGCACAGAGGTAGGCGGCTGAGTCTTCCAGCTGGGAGGCTGTGATGTGAAGGGTACTATACCGTTCCTTTGAATTCAGTGTGGAGTTCAGCCTTCCGTTCTGCTTCATCCCCGAAGCTATATAAAACAGTCGGATGAGGCCACCCCCAGGATTCTGTCGGAACCACTGCACGTTGTTCACTGTGGTAGAAAAATTGCACCTCAGAGTAGGGCTGGTTCCCTCCTGGAGGCTCAGAGCTGAAGGACTCTGCTCCACATTCACCCCTCTCACCCCTGCTTGGAAAGAGAAGAACAAACATATACAATGTCACTGGGGAGTCATTGATGCAGTTTCCAGATCCGCAAAATATCCCAGGAAACACCCATGAAGATGTAGCTCTGAGTCACCTCTCCTTCCCCCCATCCTACTGTCAGCTGTGCAACACTCTCCAGTCCCCGCCACTGGGATGACCCCGACTCACAGCTAATCTGGAACCACAGAAGCCCCAGCAGGGATCCCCGGTGACTCTTCATGGCTCCTTGCCCTGCTGTTAGGTGCCTTTGCCCCTACTCTGGAGGGGGTAGAGTTCTGAGTCCCTAGAAATTTTCTTACACTGTGTTCCACCAGAATCACTGAGAACCAGTCTCATCTGAGCTCTGACATGTGCTTAACAGGAAACCCCGCCCACAGCAGCTCAGTGAGAATGCACAATAACCTCTCCAAAACTGTAGCTGCAAACAGTGCACAGAGTTAGGAGCAATATTTCCAATGTGCAAAGTTTAAGTGTTTTTTCTTAAAACAATACATGCAAGAGAAGTTTGTAAGACAGCATGTGAGGAAGAGTAGATGACATTTCAATAAGAATCATGTCTTGAAGGGTTATGTAGAAACTTGAGGAGCCGTAGGGAAGAGTGACCCCATTTCTCAAATGGCATAGTTTGGCAGAGATTTTGATAATTCAATTATATGAAAATTCTAATCAAAGAAAACTATCTGATGCATGCACTGTTAATTGCAGAAGTCAATACAACTACTTGAAATTAGGAGTTTTAGAAACCAAAATATACTCTCACTGTTTGCACAGAAATGATTCCAAAAAGAATTTAGTTGGTGAAAAATAGGATATGTGTATGATGTCCACTCTGACTTACTTCCCACCCCTCCTCTCCTACTGTTCAGTCCTTGGCACCCTGCTGACTCACACAGCTCATTATGATCTGGTTAGAATTCTTCTGGCCACATTTTTCTGGACAAATTCAATATTGTGTTCCTCCTTTCCTTCTATTTTTTTGTTCTTTATTTTTTTCTTCTTTGTATTCTTGTTCCTTCTACTCTCAGCGAAATATATGAAAAGGTAGGCTGTCTGGGGTATTGGAATAATTTCTGGGTCAGTGTTTGGGGGATTTAGTTATAAAAACTTAAAAAGTGAAAACAGGGAATGGAGAGGTTTTCTGTTGTGCTTCCGTGCTCACAATGCACAGTAATATCTGTGTTCCTCTACCTCTGCTCAGAGAATCACCCTCACAGTGATTTATGGATGTATGGGCTCCAGATTTCTGAAGTTTGTGTGGAATGGCAGAGCTGAAACCCGAGATGAACTTTATACAAACGCTGTTCCCCTCTCCCCACCTTTGCTATCTGTAATTTGCCTACTCCCCGGCTCTCTGGTCTCCTGTCTTAACTGTTCAACCTTCTGGGACCATCAGGAAGAGTCTTCACTTCTTGTAAAGCCTACAGTGCCCCCTGGTGGACAGGAACCATCAACAAAGTCCCCTTCAGACCAATTTACTCAGCAGTCACTTGTCCCCAGCCCCAATCACTCCATGCTTCCTGATGAAGGAAATGAAGATGGTCAGAAAACTAAGTAACTGCCTAGATTGAGTGAAGATTAAAAATAAACCAAATCCTATTTTTAAAATGTTGTCTCATGGAAGTTAATACCCTAAAATAATTCGATAAATCTCATTTTGTGCTACTTATTTTACTTCAGTTCAAAATAAATCAATAATATTTATTGAAATTGTGGTGTAAATAAGGTAATTTACCAGGTCTCAAGAATAGATAAAAGAGGATAACATGCTAGTTTTTAGTCTACTGGGGAAGACATATATATATATATATATACACACACACACACATATATATATATATATGTAACTACAATAGAGTCAAAGCATAGGATCCTAAACAGAATGAAAACTAAATGCTTTATGATCCCAAAGGAGAGAGAAATACTTACACATGGGATGGTTGAATAAAATCTTATGAACAAGATAGTTTTTTTCTTCTTCCTTCTTTTTTGAAGAGAAGAACAGAAAAGAGTATGCATAAACTCTTAGGATGGCTTTTTATTACTTTTAATTAACTTTAACAATAGGAAGGATTCATGAATATATGAATGATTAAAAGTAATAAAACATTGTAGAGATTAAACTCTCCTTTGACTCCCACTGGCTATTCTGATCCTTTCATCACTTATTACCCTAGTTCTCTCCTCATCTTGATCAATTTGGAGTTGATGCTTCCAGGTGGTTTTCTATACATTTCAATAAACAAAAAAACATGTAGCATTTTATTTATATTTCATTATGATACAAATACACATTTTGGGCAAACCTTTCTGTAACTTGTTTTGTAAACTCAATAATAAATCTTGTAGGTCTTATTATACCATACGCCCTTCTGAACCAGTATGTCCCACATATGGTTAGACTACCATTTATACATCCATTCTTCTGTTGATAAACAGCTAAGCTGTTGGGGTTTTTAATCTATGAAATGCAACACTACAATAACCCATTTTGAGCCTTCCTCTTTAGTCACAAGTGCACATGTTTCTCTAGGAGCAGAGATTAGGAAGAAATAAAGGAATGAGCAATGAGGTTAGTGGGGAAAAATCACTCCAAACAGAAGGACAATT